AATAATGAGAGTAGCAATACCAGGAGGGGAAGGGGAAGGTGGGGGAGAAAGCGGGAACTGATCACAATGATCTGCATATAACCCCTCCCTGAGGGATGGACAATAGAGAAGTGGGTGAAGGGAGACATCGGTCAGTGTAAGACATGAAATAATAATAATAATTTATAAATTATCAAGGGTTCATGAAGGAGGGAGGGGGGGAAGGGGGGATGAGCTGATACCAAGGGCTCAGAAAGAAAATGTTTTGAAAATGATGATGGCAACACATGTACAAATGTGCTCGACACAATGGATAGATGGATGTACTGTGATATGAGCTGGATGAACCCAATAAAATGATTAAAAAAAAGAAAAGTATCACCCCCCCAAAAAAAGATTACAGCCTGCCATCCCTGTGGGCCAGTTCTGCTCCATCCTGTAGGATGGAGAGTTGGACTCAGTTCCGTTATCATTACAGTGATCTCAGTCATCACCAGCTTTACTTTGGCTAGCTCTTTTCACGTCTTTCATTTTCTGTTTTGTTTCTTTTCTTCTCTCTTTCCCCAGTCCTCCCTACTCGCCCTTCTGCCCCCAGTATTCATTCTTCGTTGATCTCTGTATTTGTATAGTCATAGGCAAACATATACAAGTAGACATATGTGTCAAGAATTGTAAAAGGTCTGAGGTCCTTAGCCTACTTAGAAGCTAATACTTTAGCCTGTTGTATGGATGTTGGCAGACGACATGTGCCTCCTGGGTCAGAGACAAAGGGCAATTCGCTACGTATAGCAACAGCCAGAGTCTCCGCATTTATGCCATTCCTTTATTTCCAGGCTCCCCTTGGCGAGGCAAAGAGCGCCTTGACTCACAGCTAGTTGCCCTATAGGTCACAGTCTATAAATATCCACTCAAGGAACATGACAATTTTAGCATGAACACTCACCCAGCCAGGCCTTTATCCCTGGGTACAAATATTATCTTTATTGTGCTGGACAGTAAAACAACAAACAAGCAAAACTTGCCTTTTTTTTCTGGCAATACCTCTGTCTTCCAAAACTAGGCACTCTACAAACATGCTTGAGAAGACAGTCCAGCAAAAAGGCAGTCAGCGCGTTGGCTCACAAAACATGCAAAGTGTTACAAATGTGAGAGAGCTGTGGGGAACGAGACACATATATTTATTCATTTCTCAGCACCGACTCTTTGAAGGCTTGCGACCCGCCTGACACTGATTTTGGCATTGAGGATACAGCAATGACCAAAACAGGATCCCCTTGCCCCCAAGTCCTCTCTTTCATAGAGTTCAAAATCTAAAAGGGGCTAGAGATAATCCAAAATGACAAATAAGCAAATTATATCCCACTGGTGAGTGTCAATGAGAAAACTTACGCAGTGCCAGGTGATGGGGGAAACTCACGTACATTTGTTGTGTGTGAGATTTGGACCCTTGTTTTAAAACATTGGGATCATATAATGTTTATTGAATACTTTCTATGTGCTAGACATTGTTTTAAGTGTTTTGCAAGTCACACTCAATTACCCTTGACATAAATGCCTTTTGAATATTGTGTTAGTCTGGGTAGACTCGAGAAACAAATCCACAGAAACTCATATGTGTGTAAGAGAGAGTTTTATATAAAGGGTAATTGTACATTAAGAAAGCAATCCCATCCCAGTCCAGTCCAAGCCCATGAGTCCTATATTAGCCCATATGTCCGATACCAATATGTAAAGTCCTCTTCAGACTCACGAGACACATGCAACGATGCTGAATGCAGAACGATCACAGGCGAGTGGGTAGAAAGTCTTTGGGTCCAGTGGCGTTGGCATCTCAGCACTGGCAGGGGTCTTCATGTGGCTTCTCCAGTTCCCAGGGCACGGGTTCTACCAGCATAGTGCCATGTGTCTTGTCAGTAGAGTGTGTCTCGGGGAGTGAGCCGAGAAAGAGAAGTGTTTCCCGCCTCCAAGGAGAAAAATACAAGAGTTCCCAGAATTCTCAGGAGAAAGCCATGCCCACACAGAGGTCTCATTGGCTATGAATCTGATCAACAGAGTAGAGTCCACCCCTTTACTCTTAATCTTTTTACGTCCCAAATTGACACCAGATCATGTAACTGCCACAAACATTGTAATAAATGCCTCTTTTTTGTGGCATTTGTCAGATGAACAAAATAGGTTTCAGGAGGACTGAACAATTTGACCAAGACAACACAGTTGGCAAGAAGAGGTAGACTGAGGATTTGAAATGCAGTAATCTGGTTTCTGAGTTCAGGATTTTAACCAAAATACCAAACTTCTGTCTCAATAATAACTATTTTGGATCCCTTGTTATCCTCGCTTAATAGTACCTTTCCTGATATCCATATTTTTGAAATGACTGAGTATTCCTTGATGCTGGCACACAATAACGTCTTAAGGACTCTACTATTGATTAATATTTGATTGGTTTCCAGTTTTTTTGCCCTTAACACACTGCTGCAATGAAGTTTTTTGTTTGTTCTATTATGGTAGTGCTTTTAACTCTATGACCAAGGCTTTCAGGAGGCAGATTGCTGGCTCAGAGGGCATATACATTATTAATTTTGATAGATGTTTATCAGAGACTATTATTTTAATACTCTCTGTAGTAATCCCCGTTCCTGTCAACAATGCTGAATACTCCACATTCCTGCCACCCATAGTTACAATCCCTCTTTTTGATTTACCAGCGCCTGAGTATAAAGTAATCGCTGCTTTCATTTGCATTCCCCTGACTACTGAGGTTGGGCTTTTAAACCCCAGTTCATTGGCCATTCTGAGTGGTTTCTCTGTGAATTGCTTTTTAGGGCTACCATTCTTTTGTGTGTGTGCACATTTTTTTAATCACCTAATTATCCATTTTCTAGGTCTCTTTGTAAACTATAAACATCCTTTCTGTTTTTGACTTGGGATATTTCCCCCTTAAATCAGTCACTTATTTATCACTTTTTTTACAGTCCTCACTGGGCAAATTGTCTTTGTCCTAAGCTTCCGCCTTCTAGTAATGCCATGGGCTATGCTGTTTTATTATTATTATTTTAAAAGTTTTTTTTAAACAGAAGGGACCAGTAAACCAGGTGTTACTAGCTACCAAACTACAACCTTCTCTATGAAATGAAGGAGGCTGAATGAGCTTCTTTCTAACATTCTCTACACCCTCCAAAGTAATTTGTTCTAATGGTCACTAACATGCCATCAGACCAGAACTAAGCAGCACAAGGTTAATCTGGGCAGAGGCATTAAGGCCTGGGTGCTGGTGATTGCATGTCCCACACATTTCTCAGTGACTTTTCCAGACAGCATTTTGGGTAATTCAGGCCATCTCTTGGCAACTTGATTGTAAGTGAGTCACATGAGTCATACATAAACCTCTGGTCTCTTGAGCAGCTAATTAAGACACTCCCCGCCTCAAACTCCTTTTCCATCTGGTTAGCCTTTATAGGAAAAATAATGAAGAAATTATGTTATGTCACAGAAAGATTTGTTTTGGCTCCCAATTTTCCAGTTGACACTCCAAAATGAATAATTTCCTAACTATAAATATGGAAAGCATGCTGGATTTTTAAGAACCTTGCATTGGGAAAAATTGAGACCACTGTTTTACATCCTTCCCTTTGTGGCAAATGCTCACGCACCTCTCCCACTCAAAGTTCTGTGCTGTTGGATGAATGTTGTGCTCTCTGACTATTGTTTAATGTGCCGGTCTTTCCATTGTTCGTTCCATCCATCCATCCATCCATCCATCCATCCATCCATCCATCCGTCCATCCAATCTTTTGTGTTTTCAGGAGTCCATTTTATTTTCTTTCACCATATACAGATCTTACAACTGTTGTAAAACCTTTTACTGTGATAGATCCTTATATTTCTCTTTGTTGTAAACTATGGAGACTCTGAGCGTTCATAAGCAATTAGGTGACTATATTGTCTTGCATCTTCCCATGTTGCGTTTGTAGTTTCCTTACAAGTTGAAGCGTTGTGAGAGATAACTCTGTGGACCCT